AAATTTGTATAATTCGTACACGCGAATAAATGTATTACGTATTTCGTTATTTACAGCCGAATACGAACGATTTACGTACAAGTGACTCTCTGCTGTGTAAAGAGGAGCCAGTGAAACGAATGGAGTATGGCACGAACGATATTTCACTAAATAATAAAGCAGTAGATATGAAAAAGAAATCCGGAAATGCGTGTTTCGAGAAAATAAAAGAAATCTTCGATTTAGATTTACTTAAAAATGGCATTTATCTAAACGTCGTCATAGGCTCAAGCTTCTATTATGTTGCCGAGTCGAACTTCAAGTTGATGACACCGTTCTTTTTAGCCAGCATAGGTAAGTAATGTTTTATAAATAACAATATTTAAATGTCGTAGCAGAGGATACTGTCATAAAAGAGAGACGAACATGAAATTTTTATAAGAACTGATATCATTATCAGTGCTTAATTGTTACCTAGCGAAACAATAAGAGTGACTGATAATTCTTTAATAAGAGGACACGTATATAAATAAAATACTGTCAAATCGAATCTTAAATAACAACTAGATTTAATCGCATTCGTGCATACTTCACAATATGAGTAAACAAAATTGAGTTACTCAGTGATTTTTATAAATACAAGGTAACACATTTGTTACAAAGAATTTCTATTAATCCTTCATTACATTCACATAATGTTAGTTTAAAGTTGAATTCACGTAATGAAGGGTTAATGATTTATGATCCTAGCTACGGCATACAGTGGAACCAAAGCTGAGGGACGTGAGGAACAGTCGAAAAGCTAGTCGTAGTATCTCAATAATAAATGTAGAAATCGTTGATGGTTGAACGCGTTCTTCGGGTCTCGTTCCACTGTGCGCTATTTTCTAAGATTTCGGTAAACTTTTCGAAGGAACTTGATGGTCGACAGGAATGAGCAAAATGGAAATCGCCTCTTGCCTATCGATAACTGCGTTCACCGACATAATTGCCCGACTTCTGCTACCGACCATGTTCGACAGATTCGGATTCAAGAAGAGAATCGTGTTCTGGGTGTTTTCCATAACGGTTGGCCTTGGACGATCCAGTACGTACCCATGAATAACGTTCGTCACTGTCACTACGTTTTATTTGTTTATAGTTGCATTAAAATTTATTATCGCATTCCATTTAACATTCTTCTATTCTTTTTTTCGAAGAGAACGAGATAGAGCAATTTATTTAAGAGCGAAGGTTTTGTTCGTTTCCTTTATCTCCTCGTTCACAATTTTTGAGTGAAAGACTTTAATGGATTAGGCGATAACAGGCGCCAATGGTCGTACATAATGTTGTGTAACATTGACGAGTTATCGTTGTCGCTCTAAAAGAATCATAGTAATCAACATGCTCACAAATAAACCTAACTTTGTATTGTTACATTAGTATTAAAATCTTTTAAATATGATAAGTGAATGCATTTTGCAATTGATTGCCATAAATGTTTAATTTTGATTCTAATGATTTTATGAAGTGACATGTATTTTACAGTCATGGCAGAACAATCTAAGGGAACAGCATTGATAGTAACATTTGTGATAATTGGATTCTTACGCGGTGCCACTGTGGTCAATATAAATCTGAACATTTCGGAATGTTGTTCACTGAAAAAGTTGCCTAGTGCGTTTGGAATGTTTATGGTATCCAAAGGATTATTCGTCGTGTTGATGAGTCCCCTGCTTGGTAAGTCGACTAGCAATCTTATTTCTCATCGCGTACATGTACTTTTATTACGATCATTTAAATCAGTACAGCTTTCGAATTAGTACAAAACTGTAATTTATGAAATACGTAATGTCATAAAATTGGAACATGAATGCAGTTCTTCCTTTCAAAATTAATTAACCTGAACATTAATCAATAATAATTAAACTTCATTCAGTATTGATTACATTAAATATAAATTAACTACTTTCCTTTTTTCTAGGATACATCAGAGATGTCAGCAATAGTTACACAATTTGCATACACATTATGACATTACTGATATTCATAACTTTCATTACGTGGGGCATCGAGTTTTTGTACACAATACTAAAAACGAAAAATGTCTGTGCTTGCACCAGTTGAGTAGCAATAGAAACTAAATTGTATTATATAATAATTAAGAAACAAGTATTTCTCAGTTTGACTAATGAATGTTACCTTGTTAAAGAATAAAATTATGTTTTCTACAAGTTAGTCAATTGGTAATATTCATTTGTTACTTCACTGGATTATTTCACAAGTATGTGCTTTTAATACAATACAGAATCATCTTGTAATATCGAATTCAACTTGATATTCATTACATATGAATACTGTGTAACTAGTGGGAATAGATTAGAATTAGACATAAAACTAAAGAGTGATAATGTCAAAGTATTAAAGAAAAATCTTCATTTTATTAATAAATTCATTAAATTAATCACACTGTAATAGCAGTTTTGATTCTTTTATTATTGACTGACCTATTCCGAGTGAAAGAAGCGCGATATAAAGAGCAACAAATTAGATTAAAGAGTACCGTCGCGTCAGTAGCAACAGACGCTCGGTGAATGATTTTCCTTGTAAGAAGTCAAAGACCAGACCGAGATCTGTAGTCGAGCCACGAAGCCGGTTTTTATCAGCCGAGCTGACTGTTCACTCCTCGTCGAGCCAGTCACGAGCAATCCACAGCGTCGTTCGGTGCGCGTCTGCTGTTGCTCGTTTCGTCTCGCAATCGACGACAGAATGAGAATTAGCAGAACAATATTCCAAACGATACGACGACTAACATTTTTCTGAGTAAACACAAATGTGATAAGAAATTGCTGTATCTTGGTGATTCGTTAGATAATTGCGGTCTGCTCAATTGTCAGCGATGACGATGAAATGACATCGAGGTACGATGCGAACGCTTGCGTCGATCGAGACAAGACGACGAGAAATGAACTCCGCTTCGTTTGAGAGAAATTGTAAGTATTTTCCGTGAATTTTATTCTATGAAAAGTGTAACTGAAAATGTTTCATATAGTGGCTGTAAATGTTTTTGAAACAGTCGATGAGATCATGTATTGTATCAAAGAAGGCGCGTTTATGAATATTTGATGCATCACGTAAACCGGATAACAAGTTTATTAATAGAAATTCATTTGCATATTTCCCTGTTTTCGTTTCTTGAACTGGATTGTGTGCAGTTATTTTTTTTTACTAAATTGTGTTTGATATATAATAAAACAAATAAAGTCTAGATTATTTTAATTGCCCCCATTGATGAAAAATGAATTATAATAAATATAAATTATTATACAATAAAGTTACCTATTTAAAATCAGTACAATCTTTGAATGAGAGAAGAATAGCGATGTATTGTACATGAATTATGTATTTTCTTTAATAAATTAATCAATTAATAATATTTCTGAAGTAAAATGTTGCCTAGTGATCAGTTTCACTTAGATACAAATGCTTTGGATGCTATCTGAACAGCTGTAGCAGTTAGAGTGTCATTAAACCATTATTAGAAGATCAGCTAAAGTAGTACATACATACATACATACATACATCCATAGAAGAAAACACTGAAAGTGGGGCACGTGCGTCGTTATTAATTAATTTAATCTCACGCTTGAGAGCTTAATTTTTGTTTCAGTTACGTAGCTGTAGTTACAATCATAAAATTATGGGCTATCTCAGGTTCTCTTACGAAATAGTAATTATGCTGTATAAACGAACGCTAATCTGTTCAAATATTCCATAAATTTGTAAACAGAGATAGGTACTAGTTAGAAATCGTCTCTTACACATCATCGTCTATATTTCTTGTGAAAAAATACATAATACTTATCTATGCCATATTTATCCAAGGCACTACACATTGTTAAGACTTTTATACGAGCTTAACGTGTCGGAACACGAGTACATTCTGATATCTACCATACTCATTCAATAATCATGTACGTGTGAGTACTCAGTACACAATAAACGTTCTTGTTCTATATCAATCGTTCGTCAAATAAAAAAGTTTTAAGTATTAATATCGCATTTTTATGACATACTTTATTCCGTCGTATACTAGCAATTCTGAAAATCTTTATCTTAGTATTTATCCAATCACGAAAGATATTCTTTATATTTACAATACTGAAAATCCTTAGAGACTTAATATTTCTCTGTATCAATAAGCATTGTTAAGCAGTTTATCAATTCTGCATATTTTAAGAATTATTAATTATCTATTAAAAAATATAGCTTTACGATTTGCAAACTCGTGCAAATTCCCGAGTTATCTATTATTAACAGTATAAATTACTTTATCTGCGATCATGAATAGAATACTTGTCAACATTTTATGAATAGCAAAGAAACTGAAGATGTGATTTATGTACAAAGATAAAGGAGGTAGGAAATTTCTGCTCGAATGTTGAAATAAGAATTCTGTGAAATAAAAAATCCAAATAATCCACCTTTTAATAAAATGATCAGTTAATTACTTGGCAAATTGATTCTTTTTATTGATTCATCCTGTACGTCTGTGATTTGATCAAGAACCATTATCAGTGTGGAATAATAAAACGATGAAAGGACGATTTTGATCACAATACCGAACGTCATTAATTATTCAAACATTTGATCGTTACTACCGTCCTACAATTCTTGTATGTGTTCGCGTGTGCGTATGCTTCTGTCTTGAGTCTAGAAGGAGTTATACGACCAGCGTATCTTATCACACGTCCCAATCCCATCTTACATTGGTATTTGGTCGACACGTTCTAAGTTTGTAGTCTGTCACCAGTTGGAAACCAAGACGTCGGAGGCAAAGGAGCGGCGTCATTCAGAGAACGGTGAAAAAGTGAAAACGGAACTGGGATCCCGGGAATCATGATCATTGATAAAATGTCACGTGGCGAGGCTGATAGAGGCTGGGCGTGGATGATCGTCGCGGGCGTTACGATCATTAACGTAAGTTTTTCCTCCTTAGAGCAATCATATTTTCCATGAAACATATTTGAACGATTCCTTATAACATTTAAATATGTTGTACATTCTGCGTTAACAATTTGTAACTAAACATGAATCATTTAATACTTTTATTATAAACCTCAGAGAAATTAATTTCTTTTATTAAATATTAAATTCGTACAAAGTTTGCATTATTAAAATTAATTTGGAAATGAAGGAAATATGAAGTATGGATGAATGCATTGCAGCTGGCGATACTCCCGATCCAGCAGAGTTTCGGGCTGATCTTTAGGGAGCGTTTCTTCGCGTTGGGCATCACCGCGACGCAGACCTCGTTGATTCTTCACTTGAATGGGACGATTACTTGCAGCCTGGGTCTGATAAGCGGCCCGATGATGAAGAGATTCACGTTCCGAAAAGTCGCCTTCCTCGGCGGCCTCACCGTCGCTGCTGGTATCTGCATGACTGCGTTCGCGGTCTCCCTACCCACCATTATTATCACTTATTGCATTGTCGTCGGTGAGTGCTTTCTTCTGTCAAAAGAATTCTTCTATTTGTATTTGACAACGTCAGGTGATCATTGAAATTAAAAGCAAATTGTATTTATTTAAGGATGTATAGGCTATATACTTAAACAATGC